AAAAAAAAAAAAAAAAAAAAAAAAAATCCTGGGGTAAATGACGATTTTTCCATATTTGCCTATGGTTAATGAATCAAAGTTAGTCCATTTTTTTAAAGTTTGGTTTCTGTAATTATTTCTTAAGGGATTATTACGGAGGTATAGCCATCTATGAAGGCTCACATGGTCTGATGACAAGCAGAGATTCCAGAATAATTGCGATAACCGCTGTTTTGGTGGTAAAATACGAATCTCATAAGAAAAGTTATTATCTCTTTAAAATTACATATATCACAACACATCAAGGTTTAACAAACTGTGATATTGCAAGATTAAGTTGTCGCATACTTCCGAACCACATCTATAACGTGATAACACCCATACCTAATAAGTGAGCTGGAATGTGTCCACTCGGTGGAAACAAGCTCTCTCCATATTTTGCCTTCAGTTTATTCTTCACATAGGCGTGTAGGTTAAGGTAGAGCGGTTTCATCTCCTCATACAGTTGCTCTAGTTGATCCCGGAAGTCGGCAGTGTCGTACCAGGATCTCCAGTAGTCCCCTGTGTCTCGGTACCCTGCAAGAATGGCAGAAAGCATTGTATTTTTGGTTTGAGTGGATAAGCTTGATACCGCAATAAAAAATGTTCAGTGAAATACTGTGAGCATGTTCAAGTTTCGGATTTTTGAGCCCCACTCGTAAGTGGAGACGTTTTATTAGATATAGCGAGCTCTAAATCTGGTTAAAGGTACATACGAACCGAGCATCGGTGGAGCATGGATTCCCAGTAACACCTGTAAACCACTTCTACTAGATTCTTATATGACTCAAATAAATTCGACATGCCAAGGGATAAACTGAATAGATCACTCGATCAGCCATAAAAGACCTTTAGACTGCTCCTTTCTTTAAATTTTTGGTTGTAAATTTAACCTACTTCCGTGACCTACTTTCCTGCCCCATTGACATACAGCTTAGAATGCCAGCAGAAAAATCTGTTCAAACATCATTTTTGGGTAAAATTAAACAATGCCTTTTGGTAATTCTCTTAGTTATACTACTTGAAACTATATGCTGGCATTTGGTTAGTTTTTGTGACAAAAAATTGACTTTGTATGCATCTTTAACAGATCGTAAGTACTTTAAGTAATAAAGGGGAAATTACTATTATTTCCCATAAAACAAATATTTCTTTTCCTATATAAAGCGTTAGGCCTACTGCGTGCCTTTTAAAAATACTCAAAATTTAGGGGTCGTAGCAATAGTCCGAAGGTTCAATAGTCCGAAGGTTCATTGGTCCGAATATTCACTATAGAACCTTCGGACCAATGAACCCTTGATTAAAAAATCGATGAAAATGTAACCACTTTTCGAACCAATGAACCTTCGGACTAATGAACCTTCGGACTATCGAGACGCCCTCGATTCTACCACACTAAGTAAAACGTACACCAGTGCAAACACGCGTATGCAAAGGCATTCACTCTAGCTCACCATTTTCGACAGCGGCCTCGTTACTGAGACTAACAAACTCCTTGTAGTCATCTCGAATCTTTCGTCCAGTTGCATCCCGCCATCCTTTCCAGGCATCAAGAAGTTCCGAATAATTTCTCGAGGTAGCCATTAATCGGGTAAGACCTGTAATAAGGACTGGCAATTAAACAAGCAATTTATGTGTTATCTGAGAGAGAGAGAGAGAGAGAGAGAGAGAGGCGAGAGAGAGATGCATTACATTCAATGATCTTAAAATCCTAAAACAATTCACTACCAGGTTAATAAACAGAAAAGTATGTCGTATACTTAACCTGGCTCCAAATCTAAACACGTGCCCTTTTTGTCACATACTTGGCCCTCGCTATAAGTAGTCTCCATCTTGGTGACCAACGATATGAGCTGAAATGGATAAAAAACTACACAGTCAGAATTTTTAATCGATGGGATGAAAACATTGTGGATGAGCGACATTGTTGAATTATACAGTGAAGCAAGTGAGTGCGTCAATTTTAGTTTTTTAAGAACCTGAATTGTTATGCCTACAACGCAACATTAACACCGAATTCTCGTCACACGTCCACAACTTAGTAAAGAAAATTCGCCTTCTATGCTTAAAAAGGAAAGAACGAGAAAGAAAGAAAGAGAGAAAAAAATATTCTTGTCACATGCTGCATATTTGGAAAGCAAACAGTAACAGGCCCGGAAAGCTTTCTGACCTTATTCACATTCATGTCATCTTAGATATTTACATAACACAGAGACAAGCAAACCAGACCTACTTCAATCTAAATCACAGATAAATATTTTTGCATTGCCTCAAGGTCATATGTACATGAATATTTTCATTGCAATTTCTGTACACTGAAATATTTCCGCACTAGCTGCGTCTTGACTGATATCAGAACAGACCCATTTTCTTATAAATGCTCTACGATACGATCGTGTCGTATTATGTCTTTGCCACATCTACACTACATGAGTACATGCTTATAAAACGTGACATCACTGTGTCATCAACTCACCCTCTCGTATTTTGCCTTGTCCTTGCGAAGGAGTGCTGCCGAACCGACATCGGAGATTTTTCTGAATTGCCTCCTAAGATCAGAATCGGTGAAATTTTCCCAGGCAAACGATGTAGCATTTTCCGCCGCCTCTCTGTCAAACTCTGCAGACATGATGGAGGCGTTGTGCTAAATATAATATAATATTATATAATATAATATAATATAATATAATGCAACGCAATTTGCAATACAATGCAATGCAAAATAATACAATAAGCCACTCTTCTGGTAGGGACTGCCCGCGGGTAAAGCAGAAGGAGCTCGAGCTCTGCAGAGCCTCGATCTCCCCAACCGAAAAGGCCCGCTGTCGGGGCTGATTACACAAAGATGTTGCTGAATTGCGTTCGGATAAAAATTACATATAAATAATAATAATAATAATAATAATAATAATAATAATATGAACACAACCTTATACTCTGATTTGGGGTGGGGGTGGGGGGGGTGGGGGGGGCATAGGGTTCCTCATACAAGTTGTGCCCCCCAATCTGTCAATGTTCTGTGATGCAATGTCCTTCCTTTCTCACAATGCAATCATTTCATTGATGCTTGCTGCCAAATTTTCTATGGATTTTTCAGCTTTCAGCAGTAATATCATGGAGGCCCTGTTGCACTATGAAGGCAGTGCCAAGCATGTATATTAGATTATGAATGTTTGCCTCATAAAAAAGAAAACGGTGCTGAAATGGTCCATATGATCTACCCCATGAGCGACGTGTCCTAGTTGTCACATATTTTTGCGATTTGCGGGAACTTTGCCCATATAAAATAAGAGGCATTTTGTGTATTTGGCTTCATAGATGTTCGCTCTTTAAAGAACGTATATTGGAACGTGCTCAACAGAAAATGAACGTGGTAACAAACTAACGCAGTTGATTCAATGTATTCAATACACGCAAGGTTTCGATGAAATAGAATATGAAAGAAAAATTATGATTGGTGAATGCAAAGTAATAAATCACCAGTTTTATGTTATATCCGTTACGGTTACAATAGCAGTTACAACTGTAAATATAACAGTACCTGTCTTTCTCCGTTAAATTTAGTTATATTTGTAGCGTACACCCATCTTGCCACTTGTAAGTTATAATACACTCTGCCGGCGCGGTCATTGGCGTCCCTCAGCCATTGTGCTGCCCTTCCTTGCTCCGATTTGATTTCGTGTGCCGTTGCTAGTTGCAGGAAGATGATAGAGAAAGCCACGGAATAACCCAAAACGAATCTCATTTTCCTCTTTCTGCTTATTTCGTCTTTCTGTTTATTCTTCTAGACTTCAGATGCCTGCAGCCTCAGATCTTGAGTCTTCTGTGGATAGTGCTATATGCTCCAATTTAAGACAGAACTGAGATTTAGTTTAAATAAAATCGTGTCGTAGCGATTCGTTCAGCCCTTTCCTTTCCTTTCGAGTGAGGATTCCCACAAGGATGTGAAGTCACTCTCTACCTCGTCCTGCATACGTAAAACGTGCATGGCACGAATCAAAATGCAAGCTGTAGGTATAACAGGCATTCTATCCAAAATTTCCGAGTTATTATTATTTTATTTTGTCCTTAGCACGATCCACTGCCCCTGATTCGCTGTTTTATACCATTTTTTGTTATACACTTCAGGTCTTTACATTTTTCATAACCTTTCGACAGCCATGCCTGCCAGTACATTTCCTAAGGAAAAATCGACATCAGGTAGGCCTACTTTTATTTGATAGGTTTTGTCGTTCTTCGAGTCTTAATTGGGAAAGAGGCGTAGCTTTGCAAATGTAGACATAGAAAGCATGACTTTGGAACATTTTCAAACGTAAACAGTATACATTCACGTGGACAGATGTTTGAAAAATAGAACTACAGCGGACGAAAGGTCGCAGTAAGTTTAAAAATACAAGTCAATAAACAATCGCACCATGTTTGTTTTCAGCACGTCAGAAAAAAATGAATCCAACTCAAACCATATGGTAAATACATTAATCCTATTGCCATCATATCCTATATTGAGGTCACCGACCTCCGACTTTGTGAGGACAAGATAGTTATTGTTAGGTTAACATCACTATAAACGGGCCTCTTCTTGTTTAGATGAATACCACATGCCGACGAATATTGATAACAGCGCAACAATAACAAGTGCAAACACAGGAACACATGGGCAATGAAATAAAATCTTGTATGCATATTTAAAAAAGCTGGTTAGAGTCATGCTCATTTACCTATATTACACCCAACCGAAGCAATACCTTAAATTTCAGAATAAAATATGCAAAAATAATAATAATGCGTTTATTTTCAAAAACGTTTGAGGGGAGCGGACTGCAGACACATTCTTTTACAATATTTGACTGTCCAGGTGCTTGACTTCAAACTGATGAATATAAAGTTGTATCCAAATCAGTCAAAGTGTCTCCATCATTAAATTCATGTATCTAGCGTCACCTGCCTAGCAACAGGGAAGAACAGTGCCACAGTCAAGGGTAAAAGGACGATGTCGCAAATGAACCCTAAAACGGAATTTAGTGTACTTCAGATGAACATGAATAAATAGCAGTCCGCCCAAAAGATAAATACTGGTCTGATCACGTCTTTTCTGTTATAAAACACGGGCAATGCATCATTTTATTGAACTACTATATTGTACTGGTTTATCGTAGGTAAATTAGGTAAATCGTAGTTTTGAGTTTAATCTCTTTCGTGTCTCAGAACTTCACTTACGTGTGAAAATTTGCCCAGCTTGATACGGCTGAAAAATCACTTAGTTCGCACAACTCGACTAACAATTAACTTTATTTTCGTTGGTAAAATACTTATAATTAAAAGTAACATTTGGACATACGGTACTGCATACAGTATATAGCTATCTAAATGGCCTACCCCGTGCCGGTGAAGTGTTCATTGAAAACGTGAATGCTTCATCTCAAATTGATTATATGGTTATATATGTGTCTTTTTTATCATTTTATCGAACTTATTTATTGCGAATAAGATTTCTTGCCAAATAATCAGACATGGGGTCCTGTAGAATACAAAAAAAAAAAAAAGCTGGCCTTTACACGAGCACGTTGGAAACAAGATGAGGCATGTTAATCTGCTAACCTGATTGCAATCAGTGAGAGCTGAATTGATCAACGTAGAACGACAGTTTTATTGGAAATGAGCCCCTAAATTCGTGTTTGCAGCCGGACAAAGTGTCATTTAAAAACTTTTTAAACGCTCACTTTGTGACAGTAATAAATACATTCACCGCTTTTCTAAGGTTTCATAAAAAATGTATATCTAAGGATGTGTTCAATAGATAAATATTCCAATCACCAAAATAGGGTGAAGACTAACCCAACAAAGTAGGCTGAAAACTGAACTATATACGCGTCCATAAACTGATAGAGAAGTTAACTATCCATATATAGAAAGAAGTCATCGTCCAACATCGGGAGAACGACGCCCCGATTACTGGACTATCAGTATCTTTGCACTGTTCATCTGGTGAAAATAAAACAAAGATTAATTATCAACCACGTTCAATTAATGATTAATCCACTACCTTTATATAAGGGACCATTCAGATCGAGAAGAGCCTAGTGCTAGCAAGGCCGCAACCTAAATATGGCGGACCTACATGAAAGGAAGACCGCTTAATCCGGTAATGGTCTCTCCGCCTCTCACACTCTCACACACGTGGAGAACCCATTACAGGATTAAGCGGTGTTCCTTTCATGTAAGTCTGCCATATTTAGGTCGCGGCCTTGCTAGCACTAGGCTCTTCTCGATCTGAATGGTCCCTAAGTGGGCGTGCATAGCCGCACTTGCCCTGCGATAACATGTTTAATCATTAATGGCTTTCGACTGATAAAACATTTACGGCACACTTCACAGTCTCGTTAGAAGTGCTTCAGTAAATGACTGAATTGCTTGTCACAAACTCCTTATAAAATGGGTGCGGAAATGAATAAATAATATAGACTTGAGGAATGACGGTCTAAAATACATTTTATTTACACACACACACACACACACACACACACAGTAAATAGCGCAGATTTTATCATACACGTAATCCCTTTATTTCTGCAAAGATTTGAATTTAACTGAATTTCTATACTAAACGGACATCGACTATGCATCCTTTTCTTTCTTTTTTCGTAGTTAAACTTCAATTTTTGTGCCCATGCCGTGGGTAAAACATATATACTGCTTCGAAACAATGCGTGCGTGCCGAAACACGTCCAACTTGCAACCAATGACCCGAGTAAACTATCATCAGATGGCTCGCTAAACGTTTGGTTATTCAATTTACGCCATCCATAATTCAATCCATATTTCATAGTCATGTTAAAACGTCTTGGGGTACTTGCTCGTATTCAGATTTACGCGAGGAAAGCTTAGAGAAAATAAGTAAGGAGTAGGGGACAACGGACGGTTTACCTTGGATTAAATCCCGTGCTTAAGAAAAATATTCCACTCAGAATGTTAGAAAAATTTTTAAAAATGTTGTATGTACCGTACATTTAAAACTGCCGGTAAACTTTCTTTTTATGTATTACAAAATTTATACTAACCGATCAAGTCCTTTCTTGGACAACATTTCTACTACTTAAATACACTTATTTAAACTATTATAGCTATTATGGCTATCTTACGATTTATTTATCTTTTTTATTTTTTAACTGTAAACTAAAATTATTTTTGAAAAAAAAATCATATTTACAAAACGCATCACAGTGGGAAATGCAGTGCTTTTTCTTGTCTATTTAGTTCATCTCTGTGCTCAGTTGGGAAACCATCTGTTATTCAGGGATTTTGTATCGTTTCTTTATTTAATAAATAAACAATGATTTTAAATTAATCTAGGACAAGGAGTTCCAAAGTACAGTGTTCTAAACAAACAAACTCACTTGAAAAATCAATTAATCAAAGAAGGGTATTGCAAATCTGATATCTTCCTTGGCCCGTCCGAAATTAAGGCAAGTCGAATGTCGTTATCTGGACTCTTTAGTCAACTTTGGGCTCATTCGCTGAGTTCAATCAGATTAGCAGATTAAGATAGCATTCACAACGAGTTGAGCCATGGCTTTACAAATCCTGGAACTAAATATGGCGGACGTACATGAAAGAAAAACCGCCTAATCTTTT